TATATATATATATATATTATGTATATATATATATATATAAAATATTCTACTTAAATCGATAGTTTTAGTATCTAGTATTCGAGTATTTGAATAAATTCGAATACTCGGATACTCGTAGATCCGACCTATACTATAAAAGCCCTAATTTTGACACGATTATGTTGATGCTCCTTGAAAAAGAGCGTGAAAGTGTAGAGAATTGCATGTCGTACCGTTTAGAAGATTCGATCGGATCTAAGTAACGGAATGGCACGCGCTTGTTTGGAACGGTGCATTGGCACACGAGACGAGGAGCCTTTATTAGAGAGTCACGTTAGTCCCCTAGTCTAGCCTAGAGAGCCCGCTTCTTATTAGACACGCGAAACACTATAAGTAGATGTACACGGTGATGCGTTGTGTGTGGAAAAAATGATAAATTTGTAATTATAATTTGGAAGTGAAAAAAAAAAAAGAAGAAGATGAAAATAAACCAAAAAATCGGTCTCAATATATAGATAATAAAATATATAGAAAGATAAATATGTAATTTGAAACAGAATTGGATACTTCTTATTTGAAATGAATATAACAAATAAAAAAAACAAATGATTACTTCATATAAATAAATAAACTTGTTTTTATAAACTAGTATATACATAAAGAAGACAAGCTTTATCTTATTGTTAGATCAAGGATTATAAATTTAAAATTATCTGAAATAAAAAATATCTACAAGATTACTATAAATATTCAAAAATTTAAATTTAACTTGATTCTTCAAGTGAAAATAAGATGAAAATAAAAAAAAAACATCAACTAATAGAGTTAAGATCTTATTACAATTATTAATAGAACCATTCTATTACAGGAAAACATTTAATGAAGTAACGAATAAAATTACATCAAATACATTATTATACAAATAGTATCATTTAAGAGAAATAACAGATCAATAGTGTTTGTGGAATCACGATTCCTATTTGATTGTCAAAGTCAAAGTACATTGATCACAGTAGTCAATATTTGAATGTGTATTTACAATGGGGATTGTTTGTGTTCACTGTATTTTTTTTTAACTATTGATGGCTCGCTAAACCTTCTTTAAATTGGTAGATCTTCTATTAATAATTGTAATCGGTTGAATAAGCAAAAAGAGTTAAGCTTGCAAATCAGATTTCATTGAAAGAATTCTATAATATATCCTGACTATAAAAAACGAGATAATAAATTTCAACAAGATTCGTTCAACAGTGTCCAATTCTGATTTGAAATAGGCAAAGAAAATTTAACAATCCGAATTGAACTGGTTAACTGATCTTTCCGATTATGTCTATTTACACGCAAAGCATACAGAAAATCATCCGTGTATATCTACATAGGAGCCTCCAGTACCGCATAAGTAGCGCCACACTCGACTCGACACGGCAAACTCACACAAGATAGAAACACCACACCTAGCACCGAGTTTTCTAGACGAGGAACGA